CATAAATAGGGCCTATATTTGATTGGCAAATAAATGAGTGTCCTAAAATTAAACACCATTTTCTTCATTGTATTTGTATGTTTTCCATACCCAATGTCATTAAAATCATCATAACTTTTGAAACATTAAAGATGTCAGTATGAAATAAAGTGGAAATTAACCAGAAAGGGGTCCTAAACCAAATATGAGCATATCTCAGTATTCAAATTTTCACTCAAATGTGAAGGGGCACTTGTGCTACCACACAGTTTGTCTACAGATATAGGTAACATCTTGAATAAATAAAGCGTTCAAATTTGGCCATATATCAACATATCAATAACAACACAAAAGTACAGTTAGTTGACCCTCTCACATTTGTTAGATGTCCGATGACTTGGAATGTCCAAGAAAAGTTTTTGTCCTCTGCTAAATGCGATAACCAGTGCTAGAAAGTGTATATTAACTGTCAACGAATTATCATGAGTTGTGAAAAAATAGTTTTTGAACCATTTTCGGTTTGGTAAGCATTGTCTTCCAGCATGCTTCTCCTGGGCCAAAGAGCAGCCAAATATAATAAGGTACTTCTACTCGCTCGGTACTACACTCCCCCCCCCCCCCAGTCTAACCTCAAAGTACAGTACTTGTGTTTTTCCTATATCTAAAAAAGAATTATACTAAAGTATGAAAAGCATCATTTAGATGATATTTTCAAATAAATAAGAAAAGAGTTTGTAAATAGGACACCAAAACCAGATTCCACAGTAGGCACAAATCTTTTCTTTTTTGTAATGACATACAAAAATGCAGAATGATAAAACAAGCAATCATATTTTCTTCTTTATATACTTTATATCTCCTTTGTCATTTTACAAACAGTTCCAAAAGTATAGGGAATAACTAGAGAATTTGTGCCTTTACAAATAAAGAAGACACAGCTCTATCAGTTAACAGCATCACATTGTTTTGATGTCTGTGGAAGGCCTCACTGCCAGTGCAGTAACCTAAAAAGAATGTGTTAGATCCAAGCTAAACAAAAAAAAGAAGCATGGCAATAAGAAAAACTAACATACAGCACAATTCCAAAGCATAAGCAGCAATCAGGCAGAAAAAAAAATTCAAATGATGACCATCCACAAATGTTGTGAGTCAGTTTTGCAATAGGTAGAAAAGGGAGGTTGGGGGTGGATGTTGATTAAGAAAAAAAAAAAAATCTTGCTTTTGGGCTGCGAGCAGACTGTACATTAAACATAAAATATCAATAACCAACCGCAGAACATAACTTCAAGGTTTTGCTTAACAAAAAAAGACCTAGAAATCCAACACTTACAAAAAGTTTTAACTCTTTAACCCCGGAATTATTTTCCAAGTTTTGACCGAATTTTTTCCAAATCTCATGAACATGTAACGGGGGTACACGCAAAATATTCATAGCAAAGCCAAAATTGTGTCAAAGTATAATCTAAAATTCCAAGTCAAAATAAATCGATCTGGATTCATCAGAGATTGCATTAGCAATAATATTTCATGCACCCTGCAAAATAACGGAACGCTGAGACTGTCCACTGGGGGACCACGCATGTTTCACTGGACACTCCCATCCTCCACTTGAGGTTCTAGAGGTAAGGGTGTTCAAAACCATGTACAACCCCTGCTCTTTTGCTCACCTGGCTAAAATTGGGGTTGTAGCGCCAAAACTGTGATAAGAAAGGTCAACTATAAAGTCTAAACAAGCTCTTCAGACTAAAACAAAAACGTAAGTATATAGGGCAGTGAAACATTGAAGAGAGATTACATAGCCTACAAATATAGCAGTAACAGCAAGTATAACAGTAGCAATAACTATAAAAGTTAAATATAAAGTAAACACCTTTCCCATGAAGCTAGGAGTCACAGTTTACAATTACTTGACCAAGAAATGATTTTATCACATTATACAAATAGATAATCACTCACTCGGATAGATAAATAAGTATAATAAATCTTAACAACGAGGTTACGACAATGTGAAAATTGTGCTTTCTATTCCTGCATTGTTCAGATTTACGATCACAATTCAATAAAACAAACCAATCTTCAAAACAATTTTTGGATACCGGGATATATGTATAATATACTGGCCCCACAGAAAACTGCATTTCCGAAATAGAAAAATGCAAAAAATTGCAAGGTAAACTGCGTAAAAATTGCAACCTTCCCATCCCAGGCGCATTCATACGGGTTTAACATTTTTAGTTTAAAAAACATGACAATTTGAGTACCGGTAGCATAAAAGCAGCACAGCCTATTCAAAAATCATGACCCACAATACAAATTTATCAAATGTTATTAACAACATTTTTACTAGTAACAACACTCGTAATAACTTTTAAATGAAGGCATAACATCTGACCAAATTTAGTATATACCGGGTACTTGTTTCATGCAAAGGTCTAGAAGTGTATGAGGTTTAGTCTATAAAAAACCCAAAAAATTGACAAGAGATTTTCGAAACAGCCTCTAAATACAAAATAAGCTTATACTCCAGTCAATTCAGATCCTGTTCTATTTTTCCCTTCGATACACCGGTAATCTATATTTAGATCTATTTAAGATATTTTCAGTTTTAAAACCGGCATGGTATTGTTTTAACACTAAGTCAAATCGTAAAATACAGTAAAAAATTTCCCCCCCCCCCATTTACAAATAATAGTAATATATGTAATAATGTAGATCTGGATCATTTCTATAGCACCCACTCCCGTGTGAACGCAGCTTAAGGCGTTTTACATAACGGCGTGTCTACGTACACAGTAACCGGGCACCAAGCCTCAGTGTCTACGTACACGGTAACCGGCAACCGGGCACGTAGTCTCAGTCTCACGTACACGGTAACCGGCAACCGAGCACGTAGTCTCAGTCTCACGTACACGGTAACCGAGCAGTTCAGTCAAAACTCCAAGTTCAGTTTTTGTCATCCTGTGTTGCCTTCAACCCCAGCCCTCCCTGGACTGTACCTTTTAAAAATAAAAAAAATCAATAATTCCCCCATTCCGGAGCCCTATACTTCGTAACGTACAGATTTTGAATGAACTTTGGTGACCCCAACCGGTACTCACAATGTGATGCGAAAGCACAGGTTCACTGACTGGTCACGATGGCAAGCCCAACAAGACGCGTGTACATGTATGACTTTCTTTTTTTTTTCCAACAAGTTGAACAAGTGACAGCACAGGACAAATATTGATTTATTTTCATTCCGGTTACCATGTACGTAGAAACTGAGACTAGGTGACCGGTTACCGTGTATGTAGACACATGCATCATGTACGAACAATATTCACGCGAGTGCGCACACACACTCACGTACATCTCACACATGCACGCTTACACACATTAGATCTAGGCCTAGCCTATGTCTCAGTTTGTATTGTACATGATGCATTCCGGCCTGAATTTCTGGTTATAGCTTTTAGAGTACACCCAGTAGGCTTGAGCTGCGCCGATACCATGATTTACGTAGGCCTATTGACTCTGTACTCGCACCATTTCGTATTAAAAATTCTGTTAAAATTAAAGCGTTGATGGATTTTCGTCTAAAATTGCAAAAAATTGCAAAAATTGCAAGAAATTGCGAAAATTGCAAAAAATTGCGCCGCAAGACCGCGATTTCCTGGGGGGCCAGAATATATATCGGTAACGCTCAACTCTAACTGTGTATCCGCCAAATTCAATTGAACACTTTTAAAAGATTGTAATTTCTATTTTATTATCTTTCAGAATTGCTCAAAATTTTGTGTATGGTTGTTCTTTTTACTGTTTATGGTATTACCAATTGTAATTATAGTTGCCAATAACATAATTCCAGACAACAGAAGTGATTGACCTATTTTGACAGACACACAGTTAGAGTTGGACATCGACAACATGCAATCAAAAAAGATAAAATAATCACATGGCAGTCAAAAGAAACAGGTCCTTCAAGAGAAATTCAACACACTTGAAGAGACAAAAAAATTTCCTAGATGGTACATTAAATCCCTTGAAAGGTGATTGGACAGAGCGGAAATCTTTCAGGAAGGAGGAACAAATTTTCATCACATCTAGATTTGAAGCTCCAAAGTTAGAGAGTTAATCAGATGCTTTATATGAAACAGTGTCACACAGTGATACAAACATTTGTGAGGCATCGTGGTGAAACCAGGTGCTCGTCAAAACAACGAAAGTCAAGAAACTAGCATTTAACCTCAGATTTGGGGAATTTTATCTTTTTGGCTCAACAACTTTCATGCCCATTAAAGAACACATTTCCACGGACTCTCAAGCTAAGGAAATAACTGAACTTTGGCGCCTATTTTTCCGTTAATTTTACCTCTGAAACAAGGCAACCCCCACCTCCTTCAATCGCCAATATCTTGACTTGTATCCAAGCTAAATGAATACTTTTTAAAATTTTCATCAAAAGCAAAGTAAATGGACAGGCTTTCAGATGATAACAATAACTCCATGTGCCCCAAAATTGACAAGCGCCTGATTCCACCGCGTCGTGACACCAATCTTAAAATATTTCAGTAAAAGAGAGAAAGAGAGAGTGAATGTTTTACGTAGTGGGTTATTTCAGCTCGTAAAACATATATTTATTAGTGTCCTGTCTTGTTGTGTGTATGCCTGAGTGCACCCAACCGTTGTAACATTCCACTGACATTGTGAACGACCAAGACAAATTTCTCCCTGTGAGATGAATAAAGATTGTCATTGTTATAAACTTTTGATTTCAATTGTATTGCTTTGTAAAAAGCATGAAACAGCGATGGAAAGACAGTCATAGAAATACTGATATGACTAAAGAAACTGTAAAAATTTAAATAATTAAATGCTAATCAAATGGAATTTAAATATAACCTGAGAAGATAACATAATTATATAGTATATTAATCATACACATACGTAAGTATTTTGAAAAACATAACAACACAGAGAGTTACAGTTTACATTCAACAATATTTCAAGAAACTTTTGAATTTCAAGTACAAGATTCTTCATTTTTGCGAGTCAGCAGTACTAAATCAAGATTTTAACAATTACTTACAACAAATGATAAATGAACTATTAATGAAAAAAAACCTTATAATTCCACGAGGTATCAAACAAACAGACACAAGTTGCTGCTGGATTACTAAAGACGACAAGTGTCAGATACAAAAAGTTGGGATCCATTTAAAGCGTTTTTGTGCATGAAATGGTCAAATCATTGAAATAATAACATCAAAATGAGAAAAAATTCAACACGCTTTTCTCTTATCAAGTTATTGACTTCAGAAAAACTTCTTGTCCCTTTAACTTCTTTATCATTTGGAGAAGGTTATTTCCTCTTCACAGTCTTTTATTAAGAACCCATGCTTGTAAGCATGATCTAAAACAAAGAATAATTGACCTAAAAAGTTTTTGGACAAGCTTTTTTTTTGTATTAGAGTAGAAAAGCCACGTATTAAAGAGTAAGATGAATTACTGTGGCAACGTTGAGATACAGTGCTCACTGTCCTTCACTGAACAAATGCTCTTCACTCAATGCCAAGTCTTTTCTTGATGAAGCTGGCAACCAATTTCTGTGGACGAGCCTGCCACTCTTCCATCACACTGTGAGGACTGGTGATCTGGTCTCCCTTTAGGCGGTCCAACAGAGTGGTACACACAACAGCACCTAGGGGTCAGATAAGACACATCTCAATGTCTTTCAAAGAGAAAGGTGAAAAATGCCCCTTTCAAAGCAACATTTGTGTCTCAAAGGGACATGAATAAAAACAAAAGCAAATTTTAAAAACTTAGGGATGTAAGAAATCAGGTTTTAGTTTGTGTTAATTAAAAGTTACAAGGTCTGTCAGAAAAGTAAGGTGAAAATAGTCACTGAATAGATAATTTTATATGAATTTGAATAAAACTTTCATATAATGTAATATCACCTTTCAGTTACTTCTCAAAAGTTTTCATGAAGATCCATGCCTTTTTAAACTGCAGTCCATCACAGATAACTTCTGTGGTTTATTATCATCTTTTGAAAACATCTTTATTGCAAAATATCAAAATATCTCTTTACATGGACCTGAAAACTTGAAAATCTGACAGAACAAGGTCAGGACTCGGAGTAATATCTTGACTATGCTGAGGAAACAGCAATACCCTTCACTCACACCCATGGATTCGGTCTTTCATCAGATTGGCTGTGTGGGGAGTGGCGTTGTCATGTTGGAGAATAATGTGCTTGCTCAGTTGATCATGTCTGTTTCTGCCCAGAGCTTTGGGCCATAGAGTAAATACTTTATGACACCTCAGCTATGTACAGACAATTACCGGAATGTTGATGTGGGAAGGTCAGAAGCAAAGGCAATCTCCAGTTTCAGATACCTATCCTTACAAATAAGCATTTGAATTCCTGGAAAATCGGCTTCTAACTCTGAAATTTTTTGGCACCATGTACATGGTTCGTTTTTCCAGATTTGGCCATCCTGCATTAACATAACACATGGTGACACATCTGCTTTTTACTAATAACTTTTCTTTACACAATAAACAGCTCTCTGAAGATTTCTGTAGCTTCTTCCCTTTCGCTTGTGAAAATCACATGACTCCATGCAATTTTCCCTTTGATCATTGCTCCATTAGGGATACCTCATTTTGAAGTGACATCATTGATGTATACACTCAGAGGTGCTACGGCTACTTTGACAACAATATCTAGTCTGCCTTGCCACTTCCCACATACAGACTGTCAGAGTTTTAACTTCTCAAGTAACTCAGCAATTTTTACCTTACTTTTCAGACAGCCTTCCCATGTTACGACTTACACAAAACCAGTTCAGGGGCCATATACGAGATCAAGAAACAGAAGTAAAATGCAAGAAGTGAAAGACTGAAGTAGAAAGAAATGTATCCTGAAATGTAAGTGATTCATCCCTTTCAATATTACTTACTGCAGTCAAACCTGCTCAAATAACTACCTATACAAGCCAATTATCTGTTAAATCGGCCATGTTCAACTCCCTCCCCCCTGCATTTTTTCCCCCATATTGACAACCTCCAAGATGACCACCGGTCTAAGACAGCCACTTTTTATCACCACAATGTGTGGCCATCTTCGAAAGCTTTGACTGTAATTCAGTTAAAAAATACTACACCGGTGTCTCACAGCAAACATTATGACTTTTCTTCTGGAAGCTGGAGACCCTCATGTTCGGGTAGCCTGGAATAATTTTTGAAGGTATTCATTTCTTTTCATACTGACAAGAAAGAGTACATTTAGATTTCAGAAGGGATTCCATATAAGAATTTAGTGCAGGTAACCAGCCTTTCCTGGTCTACTCTTTCTTCAATTTCTAGCTTCCAAGGTGTCCTCCACAAATTCAAAGTGCACACACAGAATGCTCATGATTTTTGTTCTGATCTGGAAAAAAACTAGGCACTTGGTCCCATCTACCTTGAGATCAATCAAGGAAAAAAATCTAAAGAAAAACAAAAAGCAGTCCAAAATCAATGCCTGCATGAACCAGGAATAAAACAGGTGAACAGGCCGTTTGAGATTCACAAAATATTGACTTTGGGAAGCTGGTTTGTCACAGTGGTTATGACAATAGAGCAACTACAAGTTCCATTAAGCCAGTCTGGCTGAATGAATCCTTAGAGAAGTGTCTTATCAAGCCATCTAAATCACCTCTTACAGACAAGCTCTGTAGCCCAGGGGAGAACCTACAGCATACAACAAAACTCACAGAGTAAACACTGAAGAAAACAAAAGAAAAAAACATCTTCTTTGGAATGTGAGGAAAGGAACTATCATTTTGCTCTTAGATTATGAGACCCACTCTGATCTCTAGTAGCCTTCCCTGGCATTGGCCACAGAATTAAAAATAAACAACAGTGAGCCAAATTTCAGCTTCTAACGACAATCCTTTCAGGATCAAGGAAAGCAGTTATAATTATAAGATATTGCACAGATCTGTAAATATCTAGTGATGTTTTTCTTGCAACTGAGCCTAGAAACAAACAGAAGCTATACCTCGGATCCCTGCTCTGTAGCAATAAGCAGCAAAACACAAAGACTCCATCTCAATGTTGCAAATCCCCCGAGCGTACACACGTTTCAAGAACGCCATCTTGTCTTCTTCATTGTAGTCACAGAAGGCTCCATCCAGCCTTGCCTGGCCTAAGGACAAAAATAGATAATACAGGCATAAGGAAACACCCACAAGAAAATAACTGACAAAGATATAATAAATGAAAATATTTTAACTCACTTCAGACGGTTCACACAACAGTTGCGTGACCCCTGCCCCGACGCTTGCGGCGGTTCCCACAAGCCCTGCGTGATCAACTTTGGAATTTTTTTTCCGCTCTACAAATCACGCACGGGTCGTGTGAACTGCCTCGTGCCCATGTTTGGCCAGGCTAGAGCTACTTAGACTTCGCTTCGTATCTCTGGGGCCGGTAGGTTTTAAGTTATTGAAGGTGAAGGATAGTCACCCCAACTTGGGTTGAACTGACCAGAACTCGCGCTATGTTTTTTCCAATACAGCTGATAGTAATCCAACAGTCGCGTCGTAGTAACGGTCGAAGAAGTCCCATGAACAAGAATCACATAATTTCGCCGTTTTTGATACTTTTGTATGTTTTACTAGTTCTAGTGTCTCAGAACACGGCCCGAGTCGTTGTTTTAAGGCTAGATCTAGCACTAGTACTGGCAGAGGCGAAGCGTCTATATAATCAAATAATCACTGCTTCCCTTCCTAATTTTGAAACATTGTCGCAGTCAAATTCACCCATAGACGTAAACCTCATAAATTAAATGTAAAAAGACGTTCATAATCACCAATGAACAATAGACTATGCCTAACCTTCAAAACCGTTTCATTGCCACAGAAATAGCCTGTTCGCCCCTATCGGGCCACTCCATAAGCTTTGATTAAGTAAGCTTAAAGTGAGGCTGGAAGAGTCAACCAATAGATTTGAAGGGAACATGTGCAAAAGTCAGAACTGTTTCATTGTCGCATATACCCTGTTCACCCCTTTCGGGCCACAGTTATAAGCACCCAGACGCGCTGATTATCTAAGCGAACTATTACACTGGTTGAGTCTACCTCACAGATGTGAGGGGAACTAACTCCTAATAATCCTTTGACTCCTGCTTCTACACTGCTAGTGCTTGTTTTTTTTCCTCGACTTTTTAACGTCCTACAATCAGATCGTGACCTCGATTATGACAGCGGCTCCTGGCCGCGAAAAGCTAGACAAAAAAACAGCCAAATGTGAAATAAAAAATTAATAATTGGCGTGCTCTACCAAAGTGTTTCGGCTGTCTGGTATAACATGCCATTGTAGTGCTGACATCTGTGCTTCTTTCCTTGGTGTTCGTGTGTTCAAATCTAAAGTTAAATTTAAGGTTAGTTAGAATAAATATTTAATGAAATACTTTCCCGATTATTTTAGCGGTTGAACAAGCATACAACATGAATTCAGGATTTGTTTTCATTCACAACTCAGAGTTGCCGCCTCCAGTGCCAGTAAGATTCTTGTGACTTGTGTGAGTGTGATATCTCCAGGCCCTATCTGGTCCCATTTCACTTTGATTACCCTGTCAAACAAGTCAGCCTTCGCCCATGAGTACTGGTATTGTTGTTCGCGCAACGAAATCACGTCATGCCGTACATCTGTCTCATGTAATTCAGAGTATGGGTCTGAATTAACGCACAGACCAGCTTTTATATTTTCACCAAACACTCAAACCTGCATACAAATCAAAACAGAACACTTTGAACTTTTATTTTTGTTGTTGTTGGGAATTTCATTCTACCTGTCACGTCTCTGGAAATTTTTCGGAAAATCAAATTCATGCCATTAAAAAAAAATCATACAAATTAAAGTATTAGACTTAGTAGGTAGCGTAAACACAGCCTCGCGGGCACTCGCGGCCTTCCGACCGCGTGGTATCAGTGAAATCGAGGAAATTCCGATCGCTGTTTCTTTGCTCTTTCTCTATAAAAGACCAAATGCCGTACACGTTGTAAAAGTTTAGTTTTTCCTCGTTACAATGGTGTAAGTTGTTTATATGCAGTGGCGTGGCGTCACTTCCACAGAAGGTGGCGCCAAGAACAAATTTATGCACAACGAATATAATTGTCTACTTATTACAGGCTCCAGTGGCTAAGTGAGTAGTGAGTTTTGACTCAAGCAATGTCAAGCAAGTGTCGGTGACACGGGGATCAGATGGGTGGTCACTGGAGTGTGTCCTTGAGCAAGACACGACAACCCTAGCTCAAATTACAGGGCGCTGCACAGTGGCGACCGACAGTGGCATTGTTTGTAAACTGTTCTGTATTTGTGTAATAGTGTGTATTTATGTATGTATTTATGCATGTATGTATTTATGTATGTACGTATTTATAATTATGTATTTATGTATGTATGTTTGCCATTGTAAAACAAAGTGCCCTTCTGGGACAAATAAAAGTGTAATTTATTATTATTATTATTATTATTATTATTATTATAAACTGTAGACCTACTATGCGCCCCTTCGTTTAATTTTAATACTGATACAGGGACACCTACTTCCATGCGAGAAGAATAGATATGTGCCGGTACAATATTTTATCTATAGAGAGAACTGATGATAAAGAACTAAGTTCGGCGCTCAAGATGCGCACAATCACATCACATTTTAATTGTTCACACACAGAACAATAACTTCCCAGGGATCAACAGAAACGCACACATAACATTCACAGTCAAGAACACACCTGCACTGTTGCCCTCGGGGCGTCTTGACATAATGACCCCATTCCCTGATTCACGTTCAGTTTTGGTTTCTAGAAAGCAGGCAATAAACCTATTTTTAGACAGTTCGCAACGATGCCATGTCCAGGCTAACTACCACTCCATCCCCTCCCTACCATACAGGCGCCAAATCCATCTCAGCCCTTTGCCCCAACAGTACAATCTCTTAGTGTGATGGGAGTACCTGTTGTAGCATTTTTGGCTGAGTTATGTTCTCGGTAATATCTCTTGTGTCTTCTGTCAAACGTCTGGATGGGGCATTAAAGAAACTTTTTTTCAATTCTTGGAAAGAAAACCCTGTTTTCAACTGATTGAATCAAATAATTTATATATCATTTTGAAATATTTTGACCAGACTTCACACCTAAACAACGAACACCCAGATGGGTTCAGGCAGAGACACTGGTTCAGGTAGCGCAGATCTGGGCTCAGCGCCCTCGGTGACGTCAGATGTAGGGAACGAAAGACTCGGGGAGACCCGTGACTGGCAACGGGAGGCTTACCCGCCCTCCTCCCACTAGCCTAATTATATACACCTTAACTAAAGACCGGCGTACTTAAAAAATATATTATTTAAAAAATCAGTTTATTTCCTATTATTTCATTGGAATTATTTTTCATCAATCCTTCTGCGAGACTTGGAAAGCATGTGACCCCGCACGCGGGGTACACTACAGTATAAGCCGACTCGCTCGCCGCGGGGGCTGGTGCGGCGCTGGCAGGGTCAACGCTCGGTGTTTTTGTTGAAATAACGACAGATCATCGTGTTTGAAGTGATAAAATACTGATTTATAATGATCTCACAGTCTTTAAAAAATTAGGTTCCATATATTTGTTATTATAGTGATTGTATTCTGTTAACGTGGAGATGTTTAGTGCACTTGGTACTCTTTTATTGTCTGTCAAACATGAGGTTGCAGCCAGTGACTGACTTTAACAAATTTGATCAAATTTTAAACAACTACCATTTTCTTAAAAATTGACGGAGAGGTTAAAGAATGGTACCAAAATGCTCAGTGGATATAGGCCTTTCAAATAGAATAGATAAATTTGGCATACAGTTTCTTTGAAAATTTAGTTTCTGGTACCTAGACTTCAGTTTTTTTGTATTAGATTAAGCTTGAATGTTACTTTACTGTGTCAAAAAATTATTACAATACCGTAATTATGAGAGTTGTGGTGGTTTATTGAAATACTCAAAAAAACGCGTCTTCAACGCTTGCGGCTGGTGAAAGGGCCGAGAAGTAAGTGAGTTAAACAACTCCTAACCGATTATAACAGATTAAACTTAAAGGTTCTTCAAATGAAGAACAAGAGGATCTAGTGTTGGGTCCTAGGGTTCATTTCTTAGTGTAAAACCTTTCTCTTTCCCTCTGTTGTTGAGTGGTTTTGATTAAACAGTGTCTCCTACTAAATACCAGCGTCTGTGGTATACTAGTTCGGCGCTTTGCTGTCACATGCAGGAGACTTGAGTGTGATTCCTGAGTGGGAAAAATAGTTTTATTAACTCTTTTTATCCGGGCTACGAGTATACTCGTAACGAGGACCAGTCCGGGCTACGAGTATTCTCGGAACAGCGATACGGTCTCGTCAAAGAAGTTAGTTCTGCTTGTAATTACCAAAATACGCAAATATGGCGATGCTAGCTCTGCCTGAATATTTTAATTTTCCAATGAACAGTGATTTCTTTGTTTTTGATGGATGTAGAAGCTTGAAAGTTGTCTCGAAAACGCACATTTATGACCGACAAAGTACTTTTTGAAGTGGCGCTGGGTTGTGAGGGGGAATGATACTAATTTGATGAAAGTGGCTCTGAAATAAATGTCGTAAATTCCGTTTTGGATGATAAGAAACAGGACTTAGACTCATCTAATAGCGATTCCGATCATGGTGAAGGGGTCGGTACTGGAATTCGTGCTCGATGGGTAGGGCTACATCTAGATCTATAAAATCCAATGGGACGTCGTGGGCGCGGCAATCAGGGTCAAGTTCGAGGGTGGAATACACCTCAAAATCTACATTGTGCTATTGGTGTATTTCCTAACCACAAACATTTACAAAAACTACATTCAATTTCTAACATAACTGCCAAATTTCCTTAAAACCTTAGGGTAAATGTAAGAAATATAGCACTTTGAACTATACGCACTGACTTCCGACTCATACGGCGCGGCGGCCCTAGGACGGGTACAGAGTCCGTGGCGGTACGGCTAGGATAAAAAGAGTTAAGAATCTTAGTCTTTCTGTTGAGATGTCGTGTCCCACACAGCTTGGGTTGGCCCTGACAGGCAGGGTTGGAAGCCCACTTAGTACATGATATAAATTGTATGGGGGGCGGGGGGGGGGGGGGGCATAAATGCATAAATACACCTATATTGGAAAAAAAAATGACAATGAGATCTACATGAAGTTATTTTTACAAAAAGCAAAACCAGAAACCCACTGAGATGCCTTATGACATTTTTTTCAAACTAAAAGGAAGTGAAAACTTCACAATAGTTACGAGTACCAGCACCCTATTATAATTATTCATTGACAGGACTTTATTGAATCTCACCTTCATAGAAGTCAGTAGTGCACATTGTCTTCCCAATGACAGTGCTGTAGCCATCAGAGGCAGGGACAGCCAACGACATCAGCTCCATGGCAACCTCTTGGTCCAGCTTGGATGGATGTTGCAGGATCATACCCAGCGTTGGCTGGAAGGGCATAGAAAGGAAAGCATAATGCAATGTCTAAAGGCATGTGCACAGAGAGACTAACAAATACATAATATGAAGAGCACATGGGAAAACGAATTAAGTCACAAACTAGAAATTGTGAGGGTGCCACTTTTAAAAGCATGTGGACTCATAACTTCATATTTGTTTGACTGGTGGTTTATTGTTAAGTGTTGTTGAATGGGAAATCTAACAACAATGATCAACCTACAGTTGAACAGAAATACAGTTACGAGTCAACAAGCGTTCAAAACTGGTACCCTCACGATTTTCAGTTTGTGACTACAGTCGTTTTTCACCTGTAGTCTTCACATGTAGATGGACAAAAACATTATAACCCGTCTCTGCCAGAACAAACAGACAAATAAATCACATATAAAAATTGACCTAATCTCGTCAAGTTTTCCATAATTTTACCATCACTCTAGCCAAACTACCCCCCCCCCTTTCTCGGTCTCAGTACGCGACAAGACAAACGTAAGCCTAAAGAAGTCTTCTTCTGCTATTTTGTTCTCTTTTGTGACTGGGAGAAGATGGAGTCCGGTGACGTCACAGGGGGGCATTCTGGGAAGTTGTTGAAGGGCATCAACCGGAAGTCTCACTGGCGGCAGACAGCCGCCGTCAACAGTGGGTCTTCCCTCCACCGTGTGTGTGGGCTGAGAGACCCAGCCAAAACCTGAACGTTTTGGGGTTGTTGTTTTTTTCGGTTTAAAATTGTTTTACGCCTTCTTCAACACAATTTATATTGCCATCAAAAATTCGTGGCGCAACTTATTATAAAATATATAATCAAATATCGAACATACATTCTACAGATTTTGCACATTGACTTGTGTCAATTTGTCTTAACAGATCAATATTTTTGTAAACACCTGTTGGCTCTATTCTAGAAAATTCCTTTATAAAAGCTAATAAAACTCCAAGTGGGGGGTTTCTACAGGTTATGAAAGGTTTACAGCTGAGACAATATTGATTTTAAAAGCAAGTCCGTTATGTTTTATTAATCGCAACATTATGCTTAATGAACGTATGTTTTGTGAGCTTTTAGTGCAAAAAGGTGTTCATTATAAAATTAATTTCTTGTAAATAAGTTTGCCACTAAAAAGTGTAATTGGTGGGCTGTGACGTAGATCTAGGCCAGATTCGTAAACAAAATGTGTATGAGAAGCGGGAAGTGCTGTGAACAATTCCATTTTACGAGTGAAGGAGGTTTGCAGTATTTTATATACATTTTGAGAAATCTAGCCTCAATTGTTGTGGAAAATTATGAGTAAGTTAAGACAAATTGATACAAACTGCTGTGCAAAGTATGGGTGACTCTTTCACCCGTTAAAAAGATATTTGAGGATAAGTTGCGCCACGAAATGTTGACCGCACTATAGATGGTTTAGGAAGCTTGTTGCGTATTCATGAATGTCTGTGCCAAGCTGGACTGAGTAGGGTACAACATCTCAGCAGAGGCTCAATCAAAGATTTGCCAATATATTATGTTCAGCGCAATTTACCGTATATATATTTTA